ACATATCTATATATACAACATATATTGGTGCATATTGTTGACATTTGGTAAAAGGATCACTGCCGGTATATACAAATACACAAATAAATACAATACACATAGAAGTGGTTGCGGGAAAATAAATTTTTTTTGGATAGGATTAACACAACGATCAATCATCACCAATCGTATCAGTGAACCAAAAATTTCGATTACCGTGATGATGAGGTAAGCTAAAGATTTACTTTTTGTAGTGCTTATACCGAATATTTGTTTTTATATTTGATCAACAGATAGTTAGCTGAACGATCAACTAACTAACCAACCAACCAACCAACCCCACTACCACCATCACCCACAGTTAGTTGTTGTCGTTGTTGGTCAACCTTTTTTGTTTACGTTCAACAAAAAATCCAATTTTTCTGTCTGTGCAAATTTGTTAGCGCTTCCTCTTCTCTGTTCGTTCTTTTTATGACAAAAACAACTTCCGCAAATTTCGTCTTCATCATTACATTCCATAACAAATGATGCTATCCAAAAAAAAGTAGCTTGGAGGCAAAACAACAACAAACAATAAATAAAAAATACATTGGAAAACAATCATAAAAATTTAAGTGATTAGCTGTTTGTCGACTGCTGCTGACTCAGAAATGTTAAATTTGAGATGTGTGTATTTTCTGAAAATAATCATCATGATTTCTCAATGTCATTTGTTCATTTTACGCTTATTCTTTGTCGAGGTTAACAAGAATACAAACAACGATGTACAGTAGGAAAACTGTGGTTCCTGCTAAAATGGCAACGATGGATTCATAATTGCCTTTGTAAACCATGACAGACATCGATTTTTTTTTCTCCTCCCCCTTATCATCACCATCATCATCATTTTAGGGGGGTAACACCAACTTACCCATACTGAACTTGTTGTTCATCGAATTTTTCTTTTACAAATATAACTCGAAAAATTATTGCTAATTACCACTCACGACACAGCAATTTATAATAATAGTAAGAAAAAAAATTAAATATTACAGATCCACAGTAAAGATACTGTTAACAGAGTGCTTATGAAGTTCACAAATGAAGATTAAAATTCATAGCTAGAACTAAGTCAGTGCGTTAAGCAACTGCTATAACGGAACAGA